GCCATCTCATTAAGCACTTGAGTAAACCAAATGAAATCTACCTTTGAAACATGAATAATTTCACTGTTATTCCACTTAACATTTTTTTTAATGTTCATCCTGCATCTTTGAAATTTTGTATTAGTTAAAGAGTCAAAGAATTAGAGCCTGAAAGAGCACTATAGCTTGCAAAATAGAAAATAACAAGGAGAAGACAAATGTAAGAAAAGAAGGAGAAAAATTTAAAAAAAAGAATGCTGACTCTTTTTATCTAGGCTATAAACACAACATTTCAACTTTGAAAATGTTGCTAAATGACTGAAAGAATACATGTTTTCAGAGTGTTCTTTGAGTATGGGCTCAATTTTTAAATCAAACCTTTTTGTCTATTCTGAAGTGTGCCTATACATAACCCCATCAGGAAAATTTTGTCTCTTGTCATACTGTTATGAAGTGAGGCATTGTGTAAATAAGCAAAACAACAGCTGTTACACATCTGTTCATTCACCAATTCAGACTCTCTTTAGTGAAGCTATAGTAGAATATATAAATTATTAGCACAAGTCAACTGGAAAGCCACACATAGAACATTAAAAACCTATATCAATAATTAGACAAATATCCCCAAGAGTTTAGATCTAGGTCTAACATTAATATACGATGTTATTGGAATAATGAAGTAAATTTACAGAAAATTCAGCAACTTAGCAAGGTTTCTCCTTATTGTATTCTACAGAAAACTCTGAACCTTCATACTTTGGTTGCAAGCATCATCATCAACTTAGGAACACAAGTAAGAAATTTCAAAATCATTATTAATTAGTTGTTTACCACCTCCCTGTCATATCTCTACCAGTGTCTATCAAATCTACTCACAAAACGTATTTGGAGGCCACACAGACTCTCTTATCCTTGATGAAATAGCCTTTGCTCACCTTTTTTTTTTTTTTTTACCATTTCCAGTCTTGAAAACTGCAAAACTCAACTCCTTTCCTCAATTCATTTGGCTTATTTCCAGCTCCCAAATGCTGAAGAGTTTATTAATAAAACAAATATCTACTCACTTTAGTGTCCTCCTCAAAGTTTTCTGGTGGCTTTTCATCACCTACTCAAAGTTCTTTCCTCTACTCATCTACCCAGCCTCATGTTCTCCTACCTCTTTCCAAACAAACTCTACTCCATCAAACCATCCACAATACCCACAAAGTACCACCAATCTCCGTGTACTCTTTTGGATGGCCAGAATGTCCTTCCAATCATCTCTGCATCTGGGAACTCTTCCTCTGCTTTCAAAGCTCAGTTCAAATGCCACGTCCTTTTTGAAATCTGGGAGAACCATCACAGGACTGATTTACCACACAACTCTGTAGCATTCTGCCTCAGCACAGTGCAGACTACAAGAATAACTTGTTTGCCTTCTGACTCTATTCCATATTGAACATCTCAAAGAAAAAAGATATCATTTCACTCATGTATCTTTTTTAAACTTAGCATTTATTAGGTGATCATGTGATCTGTTTGTAGAAATGACTATAGTCTAAAATGATATATTTGGACAAAAATTAAAGATTAAGAATGGCTAATACATCCAGATATGAATTTAACATCTGTAGAAGGATATAGAATTATAGAGAAGTATAGGTAAAGAATTATAGGGAAGTGTAGGAAAATTACTAAAAGAAGACTCAGAGAATATAATTTGAGTTATTCAATAGGACAAAAAATAGAGAGAAAAAAACTACTATTGAAGTTGCTCTTTGCCCCCATAGAAATCATATTCCCTTGTTCCCAACATTTTTATTTCTCCTAAACTGACTATTTATGTGACTCTATCACATTCCTTCAAGATCCTACATGATTTCTCCACTTCAAAACTAGTGCTTACTTCCCAGATGGTCTCAAACCTCAGGTTCCCTTTGAGTATATTCAGCCAGGTCTCTCCATTCTCAACAACATGTCTATTTAATTAACTTACTTCTCTGAACTATAGTTGTCTCTACCAACTTTTCTTATGCTCGGTTTCAACCATCACAGCTGACCTACATTTTTTCTTATTGCAGTTGTCCTGTCCTGTTTTCCATGGCTTTATCAACAACCCAATGTCATCTAAATTTTTAAATCAACATTGTATAATTTTCCTAATTCATCTACTTTTCTAGATTTTTTTCCATTTGTAGGACTCTACTAGCTTTCTAAAATTCATACAACCTCATGACTATCTGAATTCTCTCAAGGAGAGGGATCAGAGAATCTTTTCCATTCACAATCTAGGCATGGATAAGAAATGCACATATTGGTCCATTCTTAAATCCACCATCTTTCTATCATAGCCAATATGCAACTTTTTCACCTCATTATCTTATTATGGCCTACACAATAACACCCTAAAGAGCCCATTGCCTCTTAGCTTGTCCTTGGCAGGTGCCATCTGCTCTGCTCTTCTCAGGTTTCACCCTAGCTTGGATTCTCTGTCTTACCAGGCACATGACTGCTAGCTCCCACCTCTAAGCCTTCACACATGCCATTCTTTCTGGCTGGAATGCTCTCCCTGCTTGCTGTCTTCTGCTAAGCCCCATTATTCTCCTTCTCCTATCTTAAGATACATGTCTTCAACATGGCTGGCCTCAAGCCACCCCACTCTGGTCTCACTGATTCTGTTGGTTCTAGTTTCCTTTCAGGATATCTCTATATCCCTGCTTCTTTGTATTTCTGTTATTTTCCATTTTTCACTAGAACTTGCATTTACGATGTCAATTAACCACACCATTGTAGTTTCTATCAACATATCTTTCACCTCTAGAACCACTCTACCCACTGAGCATTTCTGCTGTCTCAGAAAATGAACTAAAATTGCATCAGACAAGATTACACTGGAGAACTAGAAAGTAGATGGAAAATTTCCATTTCTAGAGAATACCACAGGCTTTCATCTATTTTGGATGGTTCCCTTGGAATGATTCTGAATCAGAGACAATCACATTCAGTTTTCTTTCACCTCTTTGATATTTCTGTTATCTACCCACATCAGACTCACTCTCTTCTATTGTCACATCTTTTCCCTCCTTTTCCAGGAAACCTCACTTCTCCCTCCCCACGCTGCACACCACCACCACTTTGAGCCTGGACAAAACCTCATGCAAGCACCTGTCAGTGACCTTCTACATTTTCTATCCCCTAGGAGAGAATGATTTTATAATCACGGGGCCTACCTCCTTTTTTCCACCTTAAAGAGATATTCTTACCTTAAGAACTCATCAGCCTTCTCCAGAACGGGCATTTACATTTTGCGTCACCTGAACACCTATACATCTCTGGTTTCTGCTTTGTAGGGTCACATCAAAGATGTCTACTTTGTCCTACGGGTTTGGCTCACCTACTAGCTGGAAGATCTTGAAAGACCATGTGTATCAGCAGGGGTTTCTCTTTAACCTCTTAAAGAAGTACTTGATTTGTAAGGAGAGAGAGATACCATTGTTTTCTTTTTTTTTTCTTTTTTTTTTTCTCTGTAGGGGTGGAGGATAGGGGTTGGAGGGGCTTATTTCACCCACTCCAAATCAGGCAGACCTAAAAGTAAAACTCCACTCAATGCCCCTACCATCCTCACATCTTTTTCCTCCTCAGACTTCTCCAAGCAGAAGAGGGGAACTAAGTTGTCTTGGAATTGGGTGTAGTAGGGTCCCAGGGATGGCGGGAAGTGTGAGCACAATTTATTTCCGCTACCTTTCCATTTTCCCGCCCACAAGCTGTGGGTGTTCTGGAGCCACAGAAATCCCTGGATGGTCCTATTTAAACTGTATTTTCAACATTTTACGCCACTTTCTTTTGGTTCCGAGTTCACTGTCCCCTGAAGCTGGCAAAACGTTCTTCCTTTCTACCTCCAGGAAATACAGCTCTTTGGGGGCTCAGTGTATAACTCGGCTTGTCCATCCGCCCATCTGCCCACCCAGTCTCCTACTTCGAGCTCCCTCAATAATCTATACGGGGCGGGTTTCGCTTACACGCCCGCCTGCTTCAAACGAGCTAGCGTGCCGGGTGGCGTGCTTGGTTCCGGGCCAACAAACTTCTTCGGGACCCTGCAGCGCCCTAGCTGGGCTGCGCGGCGCCGCCTCCCTTCTCACGGCAGCGGTGGCGGCGGCGTGGACGCGTTGACGGCGGTGGCGGCTGGATGCTCGCAGCCGAGGCAGCCGAGGCGGCCGAGGCTGGGCTGTTCTCCCTGCGCCCGCACCGGGACCTTCCCGCGGCGGCGGCGGACGCGGCAACGAGGACGGCGGCGGCGGCGGCGCTGGGTCCCGCGGCCCTGCGTGTGCTGCAGGGTAATTAAGGAGCAGGATCGGACGCACGGGGCAAGCGGGGGCTGGGGTGGCTGGAGCCCTGGATCCCCAACCCCCTGACGCCCCTGCCGCCCAGCTGAAACCGCACTTGGGAGAAATGCCCGCATGTCCGAATAGGTAACCCGGCCAGTGAGCAGGGCACCGGAACCTCGCTTCTGCTAGCTTACACCTCTCAACTGGATAACATCTCTAGGCGTAGATCAAAATAAAGCTCTAGCGGCGTGAATTTATATTGGGATTATTCGTTCTATGGCTTTATCCCCGCAGTTGTTTTTTTTTTTTTTTTTAAATTTGATGTCTATTTTCTCCCGCATCAGCATGGCTCATAGTTCTGCTTCACAATCACACATAGCCAGAAAAAAAAAAAAATCCCACCTAGAACTAAAGTGCAACGCATAAAGCCTGCATTATGTGAACATAAGAACGCGATGCACATTATAGGTAGCATATTAAAGTGGCCATATGGAATCGGACCCTTTTTTTGATCCCATCATTGAACTACCTATGGGAAGGCATAAATTGCAGGTATGCATATTTATCCACCGAAACATATTTACATATGTAGCAGTTTTTATGTTTTCTTGAGAAGCAGGTTCACGCAAATGACCAGATACAGGAGCAGATGACACAGCCCGGGCATGTGTGAGAGAGATCAAGTGAAAGGGCCGGTCGCAAAGCTGCGCAGCTTACCTTGAATTTGTGTTTGAGCCCCTCTGAGGCGCAGTGGAGTCCGGACAGGGCTGCCGCACCGCCGAGGAGTGGCCCGAGTGAGCTCCCTGTGAGTGGGGAAGGGGGACGCATCTCTGCCCTTATTAGTCTCTCTCAGTGTGACCCTCCCACTCGGTGAGGACGGAGGACTCCGCAAGACAGTACTCAGCCAACTCATGCACAGGTTTTCCTTAATTACAACAATGTTGCCTTAGACCTGGGAATAATGTCATTCAGGTTTGCGTTTTATTAGCAGTTTCACCGATAGAATGACGGATGAATGCAGATGCTTAGTTTCTCACTTCTGGTTGTGAAGAAGTGTCTGAAGTATTATATGTAGCATAAATTTACAGGCGGATAATTGGCTTTTTAACAGTTGAGCTAAAAAGGGGTATCGTTTATGTTTCATTTTTCACTTTTATGTCAGGAGTTTATATAAAGTTAATCAACAGAATCTGCCTGTCTTCTAATCATGCCCATGTGTATATAGGTTCGTGTGGCTTAATTTGTCTCAGAAGTCACAAAGTATTTTGTGATTTAAAAATATCATATATTTCTATAGATTGGGGCTACAAATCTTGGTCTTCAAACTCTTTGAGATCTCTGAATATGGAAGGCGGTATTTTTCTGCGAATCTCTCTGTGTGTTTGTGTAGGAGTATGTAGATATTATACATATATAGGTATATATAGTACATATATATGACACATATATATATATTTGGAGGTGTATATACGTTGATGGTAGACATATATGCATTACGTAACAACATTTGGTTTAATGTTTTTAGTTATTGGCACAGTTGGGAAAATAAATTATATTTTATTTATAATAGTGAAAACCATTAAGCTTAAAAGTTACCTTTGCACCACAGAAATAAGTTTCACATTTCAGGGTTCACAAATCAGGGAATAAGTGAAATCAGGCTTACAAAAAACTAAAATGTTAAGAAAAAATTTAAAAGCCAGCTCATTTTCACTTCATTAGAGTGAACCCATTAACTGCAAGTGTTAACTAGTGGTTTTTAAGCCTTTGATTCTAATTAAAATACTTGCAGTTTTAGTATTTACATCCATAGTGATCCAAACTATGTTTGTGTGTCAGGACTTAAAATCGCCTGAGATGTTTCCTTCTCATATGATTTTATTTCTCATTTTTGGTTGACTGTGGAAAGAAGCCAAGGACAGAAGCTACCACAAGTCAGTCAGCTCAAAGGGCCACTTGAAAACCGTGATTCACAAGCTTTTTCATTAGGCATTTGGTGGTCATTTCTTATTGTTTTAAAGCATTATTCTTATTCAATTTTTTTTCTCCCTAGTAATTATGTTTTGTGTATCTGCTACTGAGTTGAACCAAGAGCATTAGGGTTTTGTTTTTCCTCACACTTGTAAATTCACCTACCTATATTTAATTGATTGATGATATTTAAAATAAGGTCTTAAAACTACCTAATAGGAAGCTCACAATTTTGTCTCTAGTTTATGTCTTAATACAAATAAATCATCTTAATTTTAGCATTATCTCATAGGTGTTTTAATAATTTCACAACCTATATTTTTGTTTCTATTTCAAATGCTCCTTTGCTCATTCATAACATAGAACCAAACTAAGTTTTGGAAGAGTGAGAAATGAATAAATAAAATTTGAAATTATTATTATCTGATGCTTACTTAGTTCCCAGATACACCAACATCCCTAGATGACTAAAGATTTATCTATTTTTCTCTCAGGAAAGGGTTGGAATCTAGACTGGTTTCATGATCACAACTTGTATCCCTAGGTTTTGGAGTTTTATCCAATTCTTTTTATTGAAGTTTAAACTGACTTTGGGTAGAAAGAGCCATTAACCAAACACCTTTTATTTATCTAAGCCAAATATAATTATAAATGTTCAGACTTTCTGCTTGCTTTTGAAACTACCACTGGTGAATACCTGAAATAATAGAGGAGTCTGACAGGACTCTAAATTCCAACAAATAGCTTCCAGTGCTTCTAATACCCAGTTTAGCAACTGCCCCCCCTCCCTCTCTCTCTCTTTCTTTGTGTACTTAACATTTAAAAGATTTACAAGCACAAACTGCTTTTGACATTTATGCCCCATGGAAGACAAAATTTAACTATTTTTATGTCAAATGAACAATAAATTCCATTTAAAGCATTAAAAGTAGTTCCATATTTGTAATGCCTCCCATAAACTGAACAATTTAAAATGAACGTTGTACCATATTTTGATAATTTGGGTAGAATAAATTTAAAGAACATGTTTCTTCTAAGCCTCACTTCTCAAGGTCTTCTATTTAACATCTCTGTTTCCCTCTTTCTTTTTTTCTATAGTTCTGTACTTCCAGGCAGCTTTTCTTTTTCCCTTTTATAATTTCTTTCACTTTCCTCCCCTACATAGTTTCCATTTTTCAAGAAGAAAGAATTTCAGCATTGCCCCCAGCTAACTTCTTAGCTACCAAACCATAAAAGTATTCATTCTTTATTGAATTTACGGGGCACAGCCATACATGACTTCCACACATATCCATGGAAATACTTCAATGCATCAGTAGTGGATGAACAGACCTTACTGTTAACTGTAATTACCAAAGCTGACTTGTCATCGCTAGCACGCACTTCCCATTATGTCCTTCTTTAGGCCAGTACTACGTGTGAAATTCTTAAGAGTAAAAAGAAAGCGTTCGTGATAGTTCTAAATTCTTAGTAATTGTCAAAAGTAGGTTAGAGCATCTTTTAATTTCAAATTCTAGTTTTATCCTTGTTTCTGAAAATTTTCCTCATAGAGAAATAAATGTGCCACTAGTTCCTTTTATATTTGCTCCATTCCTGGAAGACATTCTAGCTAGTGATACTCAGTTTAGAAATGAGAGGAGGAGGGGAATCACAAATGTGACTTTCATTTAGTTTATTAGACCCTCTTCACTAGATCAGTGATGCTGTAAGGAAATATGATAAAAGACAAGGGACTGACTGGGGATATTGTTTATTAACATGCATTCAGTTCTCAAAAATAATTATAGAGGGAGAGAAATTCCCAAGTAGAAAAATAGGGGGAGAGAGAGAGAGAGAGACAGAGAGACCACAAAAGAAATGTGAAAGGTCAATAAATTCATGAACAAATATTCGACTTAATTAGCATTTGAAGAAAGGCACATTTGTAAAGGAACTATTTTCCTCATCCCATTTTGCCAGGATTAATATTATTAATTATCATGGTGTTGGCATAAGTGAAGATCATTCTCCATACCTCTAAGAGGAGTATAAAACAGTTCAGTCTTTCTAAAGGACATATTAGCCATGCATATTAAAAACTTAAAAACATGCATGTAGACTGCATCATCAATTCCTCTAAAACAGTAACTGTGGCTATTTCTAGGTTAGGATTATGGGGATTTTGATTTCTTCCTCTTGCTTATCTGTAATACATACAAGTTTCTACAGTGAACATGATTACTGTTGTAATAACAACAAAGCAAATATGAAAAAGTGTAGCATATTTTCTCTAGCATATTGATAAAGCAGTAGTCTTAAAAGAGCTAAGATATTGACTTAAAATACTGTTTTCAAAATTTCCAACAAGAATCTTTCAAATTAAAACTAATATGCAACTTAAACCATTTAAAATGAGTCTAGTGAATTCACCAAGAAACAGATATTAATTAAACTGCTCATTCATTCAGTACATACCTTTTAATGCCTCTTAGCTAAGCACTGCAGAGTACACACAGATAGGTTGAACATGGGCCCCACCTCCTGGATTTTAACATTTGGTAAGAAAAAGAATATCTGCAAACATATATAATGATAATATAATATGAAAATGTAAAGTGGAATAAACTTACAAGAGCATTATACTTACAAAAGAAATATACTTACAAAATTAGTATAGTATTGTAATTAAATAATTATTTGTGAAATTAGGGGTTTATTGTTTCTTTAATTAATGTTTATAGAAAACATCAACAAAACACATGGCCATTTCTTTCCCCATTCCCTGGAGAAACATGAAATTCCTTATTTCCTGCTGAATTAAATTCGTTCTCTGAAACTGAAGGCCATAAACAGTGACACTCTAATCTACTCTTATCAGTTCCTTAAAATGTTCATTACACTGCAACCAGGTTTAATGACTTGTAACTACAGAATGGGCATGTCTCACGCTTACTCATGTTGCTTCCTCTGGTTGAAATGTGAAATGGCTATTGAAATTCTGCCAATCATTCAAGGCTTATTTCAGGTGTTATCTATAACATGCTTCATTTCCTTCCCCTCTTCCCTCCAAAAAAAACCTTCCCCTGTCTTTAAACAGGACAGAGAACAATTTGAGCTTCTTTAAAAACAATCTACATTCCTCTGCCTTATTTCACAGATGTTCCTGTACCTGGCCCTCTGATTTCCTCGTATGCTCCCTGAGGACTGGAATTGTATGTAGTTTTAAAATATTTGTTGAAAGAAGACCTGTAGAGGTTAAATAACCAAAGAACCAAGGACACACAGTTTTGTAATGATAAAGTTTGGATTGAGTATTAGAATGGGATAGAAAGATGATAGGTTAATTTTTGCATTATATCTAATGGAATCAAGTTACTCAGCTGATAAAATAATCATGAAAAATTATTTTCACCTATAAGATTCCCAAAGCAAGGACTCACAGCACAGCAACACATCAAGACAGGCCTGTCACTCATTGAAAATGTCATTGTATATCCTCTTCACCCTTTCTCCAAATTTAAAGTTAGTTTAAATTAGAAGGCAATATTGCTTAATCATATAATTTTTAAAACATGAAAAATAATCTCTAATTAAACTTTATTCCAACTTCTGAATGTTTTTAAATAACCAATCCTATCTACCAAAAAAATTTAAAGAATAATTTAATGTTAGCACATTATGAATAATTACAGTTAATGTCAAATTTATGTGTATAAAATGCTGATTCATTTCATTGCAGCTTCTTTTTGGAACATTTATTTTCAATTTAGAATGTATTTAGCTTATTCCATTACCCTCATAGAATCATTTTTATTATTTAAAATCACTATATACAATACATAGTCTTAAGTGGTTTATATATTTTATTTTTCAAATAAAATTTTTCTTCAGTGACCCTATTTATTGTTCTCTTTTTATAGTTTAGAAGTAAGTCTTTGAACAAATCCCTAAAAGAGTAAAGATTTGTACCAAATCTGATTCATTCCAAAGTCTAGGGCCTTATTTCCTAGGCTCTAGGACCTTTTCTTTTACCAGTTTTCTGT